AACTTGAAAGAATTGGGACAGTCACCTAGATTAAGTCTGAATACTATTTTATAATACTGATAACTTTTTCACTCCACTCTTTTTAACATAAGTATATAATTATATAATATTGCATAATATCACAAACATTTATTAAGCAAAGGATGGGTGGAATATAAATAAATATTACCATAATCTCTTTGTCGGAATAACAACAAAATTGTGACGTGGTCTCTGAGTAAAACTAGCTGACCAAGGCCCTTCACCCTGATCCTTGCATATTTCACTTTTATCTTTAATATATTCCATTCTTTAAAGTATCATTGTGACCTGAGCGGCAATAAGCACCCAGGGCACTGCACCTGTTCCATGAATTCGTAACCATAAAGAAACAACTGCAAGACAAAATGTAGTTAAAAAGGCAACTTGAAATTATGGTGGTACAAATAATAAATAAACCTGCCTCTCATCCAGCCCCCACCTCCTCCATTCCCCCATTCTCCCCCACCCCACACATACACTGCAGTGGGCGACATCTGTTGGCCAACCATAGCATTTCCCCCAGCTGTTTCGAAACTTCAGACTCAAGGCTATTCGAAACCTCACTGTGGCTGGGTAGTGGACACGACTTTTGTGCAGGATAGTACATATGTGGTGGTGGGAATCAGTTAATAAGTGTTCATATTCTTATTGACTTGTTTAGGTTTTGACCTATTAACTTGACCTTTGTTGGGAGAACTTGGGATTAAGAATATAATAATATATACTGATATATTTGAAAGACTTAAGTGATTTGTGTTTATGTAACGATCTACCCTAGGGTCGTGACATAAATAATGGGAGGCCTGACCAGGGATCCTAAGGGTAATTTGTGAAGTTATAGATTGGAAACCAACACCATCATTATATGACATTGCTTTGTAACGCATTATGACTGTGACTGATATTAGTCTAGTGATCTGTTTTGCTACTGCGATTTTGTGTGTAACCTAGTGACATGTCATTTGATTTGGTCAGTCATCATGTTTTCCATGGAAATATTCGTTAATGATCCCTCACTAGAGACCCCTTGCCCCGATCAGTTACGTAAAACAAACTGGATTAACATTACTAGCTATTATGAAATTTACGTCCAAAAGGGTCAGCGTAAGTCAGCAATACAAAACGCTGTGCTTACAGAGTTGGTGCGAGAAGAAATTATTTCGGAAGAAGCCCTTCAGTTACGTGTAGTTGACACTGGAACTAGTGTGGACACTGGGAATGTTTAGAATTATGTAAGCTGGAGATGCAACATGAGCTTGTCATGGAGGAGAAAAAGCGTAAACATGAGTTCAGGTTACATGAGGAAAGAGACAAGGAGAGAGCAGATGAGTTAGCCATGGAAGAGAAAGAGCATGAACATGACTTAGCCATGAAAGAACATGAGTTAGCCATGAAAGCAGATGAGTTAGCCATGGAGGAGAAAAACGAAAAACCCTTGAGGTGCAAGGTAAAGTAGGAGTGTCAAGGACTAGCAACAATGACAGTGTTCAGGACCGTGATCAGTCAGTATTTGACATCACTAAACATTTGCGACTAGTACCTCAGTTTGACGAGGATGACCCAGAAGATTTTTTCCAGCAGTTCGAGAAGGTAGGTAACTCATTCAAGTGGCCTGAAACATCCTGGGTGGCAATGATTCAGACTGTGTTTAAAGGTGCAGCTAGGTCAGTCTTTTTGTCATCGGCTGTAAAATGTGAAAGTTGTGAAGAGGCTAAGGAGCTATTTTGAAGGTTTATGAGTTGATTCCGGAACAATGCAGGGTGAAATTTAGGAATGAAAGGAAACTAGAGTCACAGTCATATATTGAATTTATGCACCGTCTTTGTAAGATGCTTGGATGGTGGATAAAAAGTAGTGGGGTAAGCTTATGAAGAGTTGATTGAGCTGATAATTTTAGAGCAATTTAAGAGGGCCCTCCCACGAGACATTCAGTTATATTTGGAAGAGAGAGTGGTTACAGAAGTGCAACGAGCAGCAGCTCTGGCAGACAGTTATGCGATGACCCATAAGAATGTTGGGTTTCAAAGTCATGTAACTAAGGACAAGGGAGGTAACCAGGATAAGTTTGAAGATGCAAAGGCATCTGTTTCATGTAGGCTAAATGTCCGGAGTGGCTCAGAACAAAAATATCCGAGGTTTAGAGTCCGATCTTTTCTACTGTAAACAGATAGGTCACGTTATTGCTAATTGCCCTAAGCTCAAGAAGAAAAAGGAAGAGTCTGTTCTCTCATTCGTGCAGCTGGAGAAGTTAGACCCTAAGTCAGCTAGTTCTTGCTCAAAAGAAAGATTTACTTGAGCCCTTTATGTTTGATGGGACTGTCTCGAGTGATGAGTCCAGTGATGTTCGGCACCTTGTTCTGATTTTGCGAGACACCGCTGTTAACCAAAGTATTGTGGTGAAAGGTGCTTTTCCTTGTGTGGAAAGTGCCTATAATAGTGAGCATGTGTTATTGAAGGGTGTCGGTGGTGTATAGTCACTGTTCCTGTACGTAGGATGTTCTTGAGAAGCAACATGGTTTTTCAGTGGGTTACTATTGGTGTCCAAGACTCTCTCCCTGTATCTGGTGTTACCTTCTTGCTAGCTAATGACATTGCTGGTACTCGTGTTGTCCCGGATCCAGTAGTGACCATGACTTCTACGATGGAAAATAATACTAAATTGCTTGAAGATCAGTATCCTGGTTTATTCCCTGCCTGTGTTGGTACTAAATGTAGGTCGCTTAGAGAAGAGCAGAATACTCGTGTTGACCCTGTTCCTATTGTAGCTGACACAAGTGGTACAGTTTGTGATCTAAATGACTTTGGTATTCGGGACATATATGTGTCGCCAGACAATTCTGTTAATGACAGAGTCGTATTTGACGGAAGCCAGTGGCGCCAGCGGCGATATTCCCCCTGAAGTCACTGGTGACGTATTTGACAACTCACTCTCATCTAGCGTTGATTTAACCCTATAAAACAAGTACCCATAAATAGGAAAATATTAATTTTTGACCAGGAAAGTGATTTAGAGTTGTTGGAGTTGAGTAACAGTGCTGTAATTAAGGAGGAAGCTGATGACTTGCCTGTTTGTTACTATTTGGACTCTGGCCTCCTGATGAGGAAATTTAGACCACCCTCGGTACCTGATGGGGAAGACTGGCATGTGAATAGGCGGAAGCTCTACTACTCCAGGGAAGCGATTGTGTGTGTGTTGTGGAGAACCAGGAGCCATAGGAAAAGAGCAAGATTTCCTGGGGGAGGTTTCAGTTAATTTTAACAATACACAGATTTTAGATGATCCCCCTTCTAAAGTTTCACCTCTTTCACAGCTACAGGTTGAAGATGTCAAGAGGAAGATTCTGGGGGAGCAACTGGACTATTGGCTTCAATACGAACTCGTCGAACCAAAGCGACAGTGACTGAGCGTCACCATGCGTGCTGGGGCCAAAACCCGACGGCTCCTTCCGCATGTGTACAGACTACAGACTGGTAAATGATGTGACCAAGGCTGACTCCTGCCCTCTTCCTCGTATAGACGACATTCTTGACAGCATCGGGCGGGCAAAGTTCGTCACGAAGCTCGACCTGATGAAGGGGTATTATCAAGTGAGGCTGACGGAGGAATCCAAGAAAATTACAGTCTTCGTCATTCCTGGTGGGCTTTGGCAGTACAAAGTCCTTCCCTTTGGGCTTCGCAGTGCCCCTGGGACATTCCAGAGGGCTATGAATATAGTGAAGTCTGGGCTTCCTGGTGTCTGTCGCTACCTGGATGACCTGCTAGTGACAGCAGTTACTTAGGAGGAACACACGGAGCGACTTCGTGCCCTTCTCGTCTGCCTTTCGGAGTACAACTTCACTGTCAACCTGGCTAAAAGTGAGTTTGGCCATGCAACCCTCACCTACCTTGGCCATGTGATGGGCCAAGGGAGGGTGGCTCCAGTCAATGCAAAGATAGAGGGTCTACAGTGACTTCCGCCTCCTGCAGATCGAAAAGCTCTGTGTAGGTTCCTCGGTATGGTAGGATTCTACCGAAGATGTTGTAAGAACTTTGCACAAGTGTCGGCTCCTTTGACAGACTTAGTCAGCCCAAAAAGAAGGCATTTATGGACAAAAGCATGTCAGGTTGCATTTGAGACCCTTAAATACCTGTTAACCTCAAGTCCAGTGTTAAAAGTGACAGATTTTGATAAGCCTTTTGTGATTCAAGTTGATAACTGTGATGTTGGTGTGGGTGCTGTGTTGCTACAGCTTGAAAAAGGTATACTGCACCCAGTTTCCTTTCACAGTGTGAAACTAAAACCACATCAGCATGGTAATGACACGAAAGAAAAGGAGGCTTTGGGACGTTTGTTGGCTTTAGAAAAAATTGCTGTGTATGTTGAGGGTTCACCATATACCGTAGAGGAGTAAACAGATCATAATCCTTTATAATTTGTACAGAGGGTGAGAAATAAAAATCCAAGATTACGTAGGTGGGCTTTAGCACTGCTGCCCTTCAATATAGAAGTGAATCATATTGAAGGAAAGACAATCTTTGGCAGACACCCTGTCCCCTGATGTATAAATTTTCTCCTTTTGTTTGGAAACTTTTTTGATAAGGAGGGGAATGTTACGGGTGTCCGCCATAAGCTTCTTTTCGTGGTATGAAATACGTTAGATCAGATGGTGTGTGGTTAGCTCGAGCAGTTAACGCATTACTCGTCCACACTGAATGATTTATCATTTAAGTATTTACTTTGTTTTTTACATTGTGTATTTATTATATTAGGTTTGTATATAGATTAGATTAGTTGGAATTAATATCAGTAGGGTAATTTATATATAGTTTATGTTTTGGCCAATCAGGATAAGTTGTAGCGTACTGTTGTGGCAGGTTGTCAGGGTCTCTTATTTGGCATCACAACGTACGTACATGTAATATATCCAACACTCAGGATTGAGGTAGAATAGAAAGTCACAGTGTGTTTCCCGTATATATATTGTTGCACAGCACAGTGCTAAAGAGATACTAGGTCGGGCGAAGCTTGCTCAGAGTTCCTGTAAGGCGAGGAGCGCTCTGAGGGAGCGTGTGGTGTGGAGCTGTTGAGAGATGTTGCTTGCTGGTGGCGGTAAGTAGAAAGAGGTCGATGACGGCCAGGTGAGGTCTTATATAGCAGAGGTAGGCGTAGCTTAATATTGAACTCAGTCCTGTAAGGCGGCGCTGGTTGCTGACCTAGACACGAGGTGCGGCTGGAGAATTCGAGAGGGTTGGCTGGTCAGCTACAAACAGCGTTTGTAGGGGAGGAATCCACTATAATACTTCCCCTTCCCTCCAGGCGGTGCAGGAGATTTGTTGTCTGCAGGGTTGCATGGCACATGTGAGGCAAAACGGCGAGGGCGTGGATGAGCCGGCCGCTAGGGGAGACAACGCTGTCTAGACACACGAGATCTGTGGGAGAAGAGAGGGAGAAGGAGGGTTGTGGAGGCGATGAATGTTGTGCTTCCCTCGCGGCAGGTACAGAGTCCTCAGATGCGCCTGCTGGGGTGTGTGAGTCTGGGTCAGGAGCAGGGTCTGCTTCAGGAAGAGGGTCCATGACAGCAGCAGGGTGCATGGCAGCAGCAGGATCCACGACAGCAGCAGGGTCCACGACAGCAGCAGGGTGCAGGACAGTAGCAGGGAGTACCTGAGGGAAAAAAAACGGTGTGTGGGGGCGATGGGGGTAGATACACTATGCTGGGGGCTGGGGGAGGCGTCTAAGGCAGGACGATCTTCTCAGCTCCAGGAGTAAGGCAGCAGAAAGGAGTGTGGTGTTCACGGCTCCAGGGTCACCAATTGTAGCGTACTGTTGTGGCAGGTTGTCAGGGTCTCTTATTTGGTCTCACAACGTACGTACATGTAATATATCCAACACTCAGGGTTGATGTAGAATAGAAAGTCACAGTGTGTTTCCCGTATATGTATTGTTGCACAGCACAGTGTTAAAGAGATACTAGGTCGGGCGAAGCTTGCTCAGAGTTCCTGTAGGGCGAGGAGCTTTCTGAGGGAGCGTGTAGTGTGGAGCTTTTTGAGAGATGTTGCTTGCTGGTGGCGGTAAGTAGAAAGAGGTCGATGACGGCCAGGTGAGGTCATATATAGCGGAGGTAGGCGTAGCTTAATAGTTGACCTCAGTCATGTAAGGCGGCGCTGGTTGCTGACCTAGACACGAGGCGCTGCTGGAGAATTCGAGAGGGTCGGCTAGTCAGCGACAAACAGCGTTTGTAGGGGAGGAATCCACTACAAAGTTACGTCAGTATTTGGCGGTAGAGAGGTGTCGTCGGTGGCGGCTGGTAGTCAGTACTCAGTAGTCAGTCAGGGCACAGCTGTCTTAAGTTAAGTAGTATACCCTCTCTCATGTTTTGGGAGTTGGCATTTGACTATTGAGATTTGTTTTGCTTGATATTGATTTTGTGTTATCTTGTTGGACCTTCAGTCCTTACTCAGCCACTTCCAAACATCTTGTCATATTATTATTGTTATTTATTTTATTCTATGTACATATGTGGTGGTGGGAATAAGTTAATAAATGCTCATATTTTTATTGACTTGTTTAGGTTTTGACCTGTTAACTTGACCTTTGTTGGGAGAACTTGGGATTAAGAATATAATAATAAATACTGATATATTTGAAAGACTCAAGTGATTTGTGTTTATGTAACGATCTACTAGGGTCGTGACAGTTATGTAGTTTTTCTCTCAGTTTTCTTCCTATTCATTATCTGATATCATGGTTTCATTTGTTTTCTTTTTCCCCTCGTTTTTTCATCGTCATTTATTTTTGTTTCTCAGGTTTGTCTTCATTATTATACAGTGTGTTTTTTAAAGATGGGAAAATAAAAGAGGTGGTTATATTTTTTATTTGCTGCAGTGCATTTATTTAAAGCAAAAGTGTGAGGGGGTAATTATTATGATTCTCTCTCTCTCTCTCTCTCTCTCTCTCTCTCTCTCTCTCTCTCTCTCTCTCTCTCTCTCTCTCTCTCTCTTGGGGTGTGGGTGGAGTTCTTTGGGTTACGAACATAACAATATTTCCAATCAAATACATGTCAAAGTAAGTGTATTAAAGTACATTTATTTACCAACTGTAATTGAACATATTTAAAGTAAATCGTAATTGTAATCCATTTCATTGTCATTGTAATTACTCCATGCATGGTTAGGAGTTGTGGTTGGTTTAGTACTGATAGTTATGCTTGGTATAGTGGTGGTTGAGTGTTTTAATAATTGTGGTTAGTAGTTGTGGTTGGTTTAGTACTGACAGTTATGCTTGGGAAAGTGGTGGTTGGGTGTTTTAATAATTGTGGTTAGTAGTTGTGGTTGGTTTAGTATTGATAGTTATGCTTGGTATAGTGGTGGTCGAGTGTTTTAAAAATTGTGGTTGGAATCAGTTTATGTTTGTTTTGGTGAATAATTATGCTAGCCAAGTGTAGTTGTTTAAGTGACTACGGCCTGATTGTGGTTGTTGTGGTTGTTGTAGTGGTTGTTGAGGATGTAGTTGTCGTAGTAGTAGTTGTTGCAGTTGTCGTCGTTGTACTGGTTGTTGTTGTGGATGTAGTAGTAGTAGTTGTAGTAGTAGATGTAGTAGTGGTAGTAGTAGTGGAAGTAGTAGCAGTGGTAGTAGTAGATGTAGTGGTGGTGGTAGTAGTAGTAGTAGTGGTGGTGGTAGTAGTAGTAGTAGTGGTGGTAGTAGTAGATGTAGTAGTGGTGGTAGTAGTAGTAGTAGTAGTGGTGGTAGTAGTAGATGTAGTAGTGGTGGTAGTAGTAGTAGTAGTAGTAGTAGTAGTAGTAGTAGTAGATGTAGTAGTGTAGTAGTAGTAGATGTAGTAGTAGTAGTAGTAGTAGTAGTAGTAGATGTAGTAGTGGTAGTAGTAGTAGATGTAGTAGTAGTAGTAGTAGATGTAGTAGTGGTGGTAGTAGTAGTCGTAGTAGTAGATGTAGTAGATGTAGTAGTGGTAGTAGTAGTAGTAGATGTAGTAGAAGTAGTAGTAGTAGATGTAGTAGTGGTAGTGGTAGTAGTAGATGTAGTAGTAGTAGTAGTAGATGTAGTAGTGGTAGTAGTAGTAGTAGATGTAGTAGTTGTAGTAGTAGATGTAGTAGTAGTGGTAGATGTAGTAGTGGTGGTAGTAGTAGTAGTAGATGTAGTAGTTGTAGTAGTAGATGTAGTAGTAGTGGTAGATGTAGTAGTGGTAGTGGTAGTAGTAGTAGTAGATGTAGTAGTTGTAGTAGTAGATGTAGTAGTAGTGGTAGATGTAGTAGTGGTGGTAGTAGTAGTAGTAGATGTAGTAGTGGAAGTAGTAGTAGATGTAGTAGTAGTAGTAGTAGTAGATGTAGTAGTGGTAGTAGTAGTAGTAGATGTAGTAGTAGTAGTAGTAGATGTAGTAGTGGTGGTAGTAGTAGTAGTAGTGGTTGTTGTCGTAGTTGTTGTCGTAGTTGTGGTTGTACTTGTGGTTGTGGTGGTAGTCGTGGTTGTAGTTGTGGTAGTTGTTGTGGTTGTAGTTGTGGATGTGGTGGTAGTTGAGGTGGTAGTTGTCTTCTCTGAAAAATAAAAGAAACAAAAGTAAGTAAATAAGATGAAAATATAAACAATTGAGTGGTATAAACAAACTGATCTTAATCTTACAGTCTCCCCTACAGAAATCGGAGGGGAGGGATTTATAAATTATATAATAACTGTATTAAGTAAAGAGAAAAATAATGATCCCCCCCCCCCTAACCTGCGATTTTTTAAACTGACTCCTAAATTTGCTTTGCATTAACAATGATCTTTCAGCCACTTACTTGGTCGACAGCAGAAGCACTTTTTGCCCAAGCACTTCCCATAGATGTAGCCATAATGACAGTCATGCTCGTTCTCGACGCAGTAGCCGCCCGCATTTTCACATTCGTAGGACAGCTTGCATTTCGGAGCACAGCATTTGCAGTTATCCGTCATACAACCTCTTCGGATCACTCGGTGTTCGCCTGAGCACACCTCCTGACACTTCCCATGGTACTTTTCGCAAATGGGATTCGCCTTGCAGAGAGCTGTAGGAGACACACCACAAATCCACTTACACAGATTTCAAAGAGTCGTTCAGCGTTTCAGAGATAATATTACACCCTGTAGACCACTCAAAGATAATATTACACCCTGTAGACCACTCAGAAAATATTACACTCTGTAGACCACTCAGAGATAATATTACACCCTGATGACCACTCAGAGATAATATTACACCCTGTAGACCACTCAAGGAGGAGACGTTACTACTTGTCGTTTGCACCAAAACTCAGATAGACTCACCGTCCTCGAGGCAGCAAACGCAGTCTTTCTTACAGCCCTTCGTGACGTATTGACCAGCCCAGCAATCCTTCTCCTTGGTGCACTTCCCGCCCATTTGCTTACACTTGCCCTTGGTCTCACAGCCCTTGGGCACACAGCACATACATTTCTTCCCCTTACAGCCATACGGGACTTCCATCTCCTTCTTCTTGTTGCAGCGCTTTTTGCACACTCCACCCTCGTCTCTGCACACATCCAAGGGTATGCATTTCTTTTTCGCTAGAGAGAGAGAGAGAGAGAGAGAGAGATTAATGCCGCTTCTTAAAATCTGTAATGGTTCCTGTTTCATCTTTTATATTATTATTATTATTATTATTATTATTATTATTATTATTATTATGAAAGAAACGCGTCACTAAGATGATGAGTTAAAACAGGGTAAATGAATATAAGCAACACTTTACTGGTTGCTGTTGAGATTAAGTACATCATTAAATTGGGTGTGAAGTGAGTAACAACACACGCACACACACACACACACACACACACACACACACACACACACACACACACATGAACACGCTTTGAGTGAATATTGTAATTTATATGATAAATCGATTGGAAAAATAGACTGTAATCTTTCCGTGTTTTGAGGTGACCGCCAACAACAACACAACACAACACCAAAAGTTATAACCAATTAGAACTTAATGGAGATACAACTCTCTAAATATCCCTTCATATTGTACTTCGATATGTTATGTTCCTCGAGAAAACACCGGACGAGTGTTGGGCAGTTCAGGATGTTATATTAAAAAAAAAAAAAAAATAACGCTAAATTTGTGTGAGGTTAAGCCACTAATCCTCCCTCCATAACACAAAGTAGGTTCAAAGAAGCAGATGAAGAGCTTGATAGAGCGTGCGAATGTAGAGTCTTCGTCCTGAATACTAACAAACATAGAACAGTTCATCGGCGAATACTTAAGTACACAGTAAAGATGCACTACTCACCCTTCTTACAACACCCGCAGGTCTCACCACCGCTGCATCCTTCTGACTTCCACTTGCCTTTGCATTTTTCCTTTGTGGTACACTTGCCCTTCCTGCACTTGCCTTTGCACTTCTCTGTAAGGGTGACATATCAATGTTATTTCCTACGTAAGGGTGATACGTTGTACTCTCTCTCTCTATTTCCTACATAAGGGTGATACAGTGTACCCCACCAGTGTTATTTTCCATGGCAATAATTGATTCACACCGCGGACAACAGATATACAGACATATCTCTACGCTCATGTTGCTCTCTCTTTCTCTATTTATTTTACAACCTAATTCCACCCTTTCTCACTAGTGTATATCTACTTTTCTCTCTCTGTCTCCAGGTCAAGCCTTGAACTGTTGTTTGGAAATCGATTCACAAATATAAACTAGTCCTGCATGCCTTCATACTTATATATTGGCATACATGAATACATATGTAAGCTTTCGTTGACTCATAGACACATAACGTTTACATCAAAGCTTGCGAGAAATAACTACATGACAACATTTTTAACGTATTTTGTCGTGTCTGGTGTATGATTTATGATAATAATGGCAAATTTTTTATATCTGTTTGAAAAGGTGTTGTCTATTTTTCCTCCACCTTACATGCATATTTTACCAGGCAGAGTCCTAAACGTATGTGTTGGTATGATTCGTCACACTGAGCAGGACTGTGGAGTGACCGATTCTCACTTTCCTTATACTCACTACACTCTCACTTTCCTCATACTCATTACACTCTTACTTTCCTCATACTCACTGCACTCTCACTTTCCTCATACTCACTATACTCTCACTTTCCTCATACTAATACACTCTCACTTTCCTCATACTCACTACACTCTCACTTTCCTCATGCTCACTATACTCTCACTTTCCTCATAGTCACTACACTCTCACTTTCCTCATACTCACTACACTCTCACTTTCCTCATACTCACTACATTCTCACTTTCCTCATACTCACTATACTCTCACTTTCCTCATACTTACTACACTCTCACTTTCCTCATACTCACTACACTCTCACTTTCCTCATACTCACTATACTCTCACTTTCCTCATAGTCACTACACTCTCACTTTCCTCATACTTACTACACTCTAACTTTCCTCATACCCACTACACTCTCACTTTCCTCATACTCACTACACTCTCATTTTCCTCATAGTCACTACACTCTCAATTTCTTTATACTCACTATACTCTCACTTTCCTCATAGTCACTACACTCACTTTCCTCATACTTACTACACTCTCACTTTCTTCACACTCACTACACTCTCACTTTCCTCATACTCACTACACTCTCATTTTCCTCTTAGTCACTACACTCTCACTTTCTTTATACTCACTATACTCTCACTTTCCTCATAGTCACTACACTCACTTTCTTTATACTCACTATACTTTCACTTTCCTCATACTTAGCACACTCTCACTTTCCTCATACTCACTACACTCTCACTTTCCTCATACTCACTATACTCTCACTTTCCTCATAGTCACTACACTCTCACGTTCATCATACTCACTATACTTTCACTTTCCTCATACTTAGCACACTCTCACTTTCCTCATACTCACTACACTCTCACTTTCCTCATACTCACTATACTCTCACTTTCCTCATAGTCACTACACTCTCATTTTCTTCATACTCAATACACTCTCACTTTCCTCATACTCACTACACTCTCATTTTCCTCATAGTCACTACACTCTCACTTTCTTTATACTCACTATACTCTCACTTTCCTCATAGTCACTACACTCACTTTCCTCATACTTACTACACTCTCACTTTCTTCATACTCACTACACTCTCACTTTCCTCATACTCACTACACTCTCATTTTCCTCATAGTCACTACACTCTCACTTTCTTTATACTCACTATACTCTCACTTTCCTCATAGTCACTACATTCTCACTTTCTTTATACTCACTATACTTTCACTTTCCTCATGCTTAGCACACTCTCACTTTCCTCATACTCACTACACTCTCACTTTCCTCATACTCACTATACTCTCACTTTCCTCATAGTCACTACACTCTCACGTTCATCATACTCACTATACTTTCACTTTCCTCATACTTAGCACACTCTCACTTTCCTCATACTCACTACACTCTCACTTTCCTCATACTCACTACACTCTCACTTTCCTCATACTCACTACACTCTCACTTTCCTCATACTCACTATACTCTCACTTTCCTCATACTTACTACACTCTCACTTTCCTCATACTCACTACACTCTCACTTTCCTCATACTCACTGCACTCTCATTTTCCTCATAGTCACTACACTCTCACTTTCTTTATACTCACTATACTCTCACTTTCCTCATAGTCACTGCACTCACTTTCTTTATACTCACTACACTCTCACTTTCTTTATACTCACTATACTCTCACTTTCCTCATAGTCACTACACTCACTTTCATCATACTCACTATACTTTCACTTTCCTCATACTTAGCACACTCTCACTTTCCTCATACTCACTACACTCTCACTTTCCTCATACTCACTATACTCTCACTTTCCTCATAGTCACTACACTCTCACTTTCTTTATACTCACTACACTCTCACTTTCTTTATACTCATACTCACTTGGAGGAGGACCATATAGTGGAGGAGGTGGAGGAATACAACATTTGCAGGGTTCGCAACTGTTCTCTTGGGGGTACACTTTATTATCGATGCACTTTTGGGAGTTGGACTTGCTACCGTCGTCACAGAAGCCTCCTGCCTTCAGACAATTGGCTTCTCCTTTTTTGCAGAATTTCTTCGTCTCCGCTGTTTCCGATTTAACAATTCTGGCCTCTGTGGTCTTCATTTGTTCACTTTTGTCGCTATTATTCTTTTTTCTGTCATCTGCATCGCCCATATTTTTCTCTCTTTTATTTGTATCTTCCTTATTCTTCTTTCTTTCATTTGTATCTTCCTTAGCATTTATTCTGGTCTTTGGTTTGGTATTCTCACCATTCCTTGTCTTAAATTTTTTCCTCGTTTTGTTCTTGCCTTTATCGTTCATTTTCCTGCGCTTAACTTTATCTTCGATGGCTTTTTGGTCCTTTTCTCCCCCTCTATCTTCTTTCTCAATTTTGTTTTTGTGTTTCTTTTCTGCTTCATTTTTAATGAGTTTATTTTTATTTTTTCTAAATTTCTTCCCATTAGTTTTCTTGAATCCCCCTTGACTTTCCTTTTTAGTTTTCATGCTTTTCCACCGTTTCTTGTTATCAGTGTTTTTGCGGCGTTTCTTTTGTGCAGGCTTGGCAATTTTCCCGAGTTGACGTCGATTCTTCTTGTCATCGTCTTCATTATGTTTTTTCCTGACTTGACTTGACTGCGATTTCTTCTCCTTCTCTGGGTTATTCTTTTTCTCGCGTGATGCTAGTGGGACGTTGTTTTCGGTGTTCAGTTGTCTTTGACCTGCCGACACAAACGTTGTTAATACTTGGGATAATATGAGAATAATCCACATAGTATATATTATGCGTCCGATACTCATGATAATTGTAGTTGTAGATTGAAATTAGGTCCTATAGCCTTGACACCCTTTATACTAGACACTAGACTAGAGGCTGGTACTATACTCGACCGCTTTCGCTATCCCAACTCAGTCCATCCAGCTGTGACTGGGGCATCCTCAGTCCACTCAGCTGTGGCCGGGGCACCCTCAGTCCACCCAGCAGTGAATGGCTACTTTACTTACGGTGTGATGTTCTCTCTCACAAGTTAAATATCACAATGAAAACAACAACAACAACAACCAATCAAGCGTAAAAAATTTGGAAATTTGATATTGATGGGTAAGCTGTACAGTAATTGAAGGAGACATGGTAAAATTACTGCCTTGGTTAAAACACTCATAAGTTAAGGTTGTGCGAAGTTACAACACCTTATCATCACAGTTCATAACTATGCGAGACAAAAGATAATAACTGGGCTTATCAACACTCACAGTGAAAAGTTATTTATCTACAAGATCGTTCGGTCAGTTGGTATTGGTTAAAATAATTTTTTTCTCTCAGATTACTCTAAGTGGACATATCTGAATAACCTTCCCGAGGATTATACATTGTGGTGGAATTTATTAGAGAGACTCACACAGCCTTAAGTATAATCAACGTCTAACTTGCCCGGTGTATTTCTGTTGTCCATCGTATCTGTTATTTTTTGTTTGTTGGGAAATATTACAATTAGTTCCTTGGGACTTTCTCTTGTTCGTCCTTACACCCAACACAACATGAGAGACACTGTGTGATCACTCTATGAAGGAAACACATCACGCTGCTCGTGAGTAATGAGTGGCTGTAAACAAATGTCAGGCGATCTGTGACGTTATCTACAAAGGATACGACTGTGCTGCTGGTGTGTGACAAGTATATCTGGTGGTGTAGTGAGTATAACACTCAGCTTACATTTCAGTGATTCTGGGTTTTAATGCTCAAGGGGGAAATTAGCACCACCACTTTACCTGTAAGGCAACAGACGGTTCCGCGACCACAGTCATCTTGACCCAATGTTCTGAGGCACTTGGCACCCGGCGAGCGACACTTGCCTCCAGTTGAGCTACATAGAACGCCTCTCTCTTTCTGAGGACCAAAAAATCCATTATTAACACAATTACAGTGTAACACTGTCATGAGTTAGCGAGTATTTCCCGCCAAGCATGAGCCAATCGCAGTGACTTGTGAGCATGAATTCTATAGGCCTAAACCAATAAGGAGAGCCTGTGAGACGTGACATCATGAAGATGTGGCGCCATTGTAGGCCGTCTTTGTTTTCAAGACAGTCTGGTTTGGGTCGTGAAGTGTAGACGTACGTCTGGTCAGCCAGTTTTTAGCATGTCGATATATATATATATATATATATATATATATATATATATATATATATATATATATATATATATATATATATATATATATATATATATATATATATATATATATATATATGCTGATATCCACAAGGAAAAAGAAAACACGAAGTTCCCAAGCGCTTTCGTGTAATTCACATCTTCAGGGGTGAGTACAGACTAAGGAGAAGTACAAAACAAGGTATATATATATATACAGAGGAGGGTGAGATCAGGTCCACAATGGTCAGGTATTAGGTAATGACCCTACTAATCTTTAAAAAAGCACCACAGCAGTCGGTAGTCAGGTCAGAGGGTAAGGTGACCCAACCTTCTCACCTGGTTTCAAATCTTCTTAATTACAAAATTGTCCAGTTTGTACATGCCATTACTCAAATTCATGTTGACTGCTTCGGTATGTTTAATGAGACTAGATTCTATAATGTTCCTACTGTCAATTGAATTACAAGGTAATATTGAGGAGGCATTATCCCAGTCAATGCAATGCTTGTTATCCCTCAAATGAACAAACAGAGCATTGGATTCCTGGCCTGTCCTAACACTATATTTATGTTTAAATGAGCAAGTGATGTTCAGGAGTCACACGAGTACTGAAGACTCAGATAGTAGTTTTCTTGCTTAGCGGCGCCACATTCAACAAAAAGTACTTCAGGTCTGACCTGTGAGACAGAGTATCAGTGATCAGTGTTGTACTTTTCGTCTTCTCCCCCCCCCCCTATATTTTTTCCCAAACTAGAATTTCTTTTGTGAAAAAGAAACATCGCAAGCTGAGTACAACAGGGCAGTGTATTGGGCCCATTGTTGTTTGTTTGTTTCATAAAGGACATGCCAGAAGCTATACACTCCTCCATATAAGAGTTTTCGTACGATGCCAAGCTATTTAAGGAAATTAAGAACCAAACAGACTGCGAAAAACTGCAGAAAGATTTCTGTGAGCTTCAAGAGTGGTTGAAGAAATGGCTGTTAAGATTCAATGTCATGAAGTGTAAGAGGATGCACCTGGGTTGTACCAATGATAAGGGGGCGTATCATATGTCCCAACGGGGCGAAGAAACTGCATTAATAGAGACCGAATGCGAAAAGGGCCTAGGTGTGTATGTTGACAATGGAGGTCGTTTAAAACATTTAGACCGTCTAGAATGATATCTTCAAGAGTGAGGTGCTTCCCTGTCTGGAGTACTGTCACCCCGTCTGGTCTCCGAGATATGCTAGAGACTGTCAATTGATTGAAAATGTCCAAAGGAGGGCCACCAGACTGGTGCCTGCACTACGGCACCACAGTTACCCTGAGAGATTAGAACGTCTGCAATTGCCTAGCTTATACTACAGACGGCAAGGGGTGACTTAATAGAAGTGTAGTAACACCTCGGAGGGCACTACTCAGTCGAGTGTCCATACTTGGAGCTGGCGGACGCCCGCCCCACAAGTGGTCACAACTCAAGGTTAAAGAAGCCACAAGCTCAGGAAACTGTAAGGGCAAACGTTTTAAGAATGAGAATTGTAAACTCTTGGAACACTCTGCCAGAGAGTGTTGTGACGGCACCTAGTGTGAGCTCTCTCATGACCAGACTGGACAAGCACCGGGGTAGGTTCAGTTACATTCAGGAGGACTGTGCATTCCCAGTACTTGCCAACAGTGCATTAAAGGGGCATACATGCCCAATACTTACCAACAGTGCATAACAGAGACGTAACCGACCGCCCAAGCGGCTAACGAGATGATTAGTAGCGAAGAGATTAAAAAGTAAAAGTAAAGGCTGGTTAGGTTGTGATATTTTCGTTTTTTCCACAAGAGAATTTCTAGTGAGGTTACAAAATTTAAGGCCAGACACCGTCATCAGTACAGTACCTTGGCCTGGACGACAATGATGGCCATCATGGCTACACACACCACCAATAACTTGGTCAGCTTCATGTTGCAGGGCCACAAGTGCCTTTCTTGAATGGTTGTGTTGTGGTACTGCGCTGACGGCTCCTGTTACACGCACACTGGTTGGCGGCAATCTTGTCTGCGCTTCAACCGCTCTCTGTACTTCCTTTTATATTTGTTGCACACTAGTCAACTGTCGAGCTGTACATATGTGCCAGCTGGAGGGGAGGGGCAGGGGGGTGATCTATGGGCAACATGGACACTGAATCATCCACCTACCAGAGGCGTGTTGCTGATGTGTGTGTGTGTGTGTGTTTAAATAAGAGAGTTATAGATATTAACCTAAGAAGCATTACCATATCAGCTTTAAGCCTCTGAAATGAAACAAGTACAAATATTCAGATTAGTTGGGGAGATTTCTTTATTTTTTTTACCTATCCAACCCCTGTGAATTTTTGTAGACGAATTAAAGATAACATGACACCAATTTAAGCCCAAAGGCACATTAGAAGCCTTATAAGAACATAAGAATGGAGGAAACTGCAGCGGGCCTATTGGCCCATACTGGGCAGTCCCGTTTACACCCAACCCCTATTGCTCATATAAGCATCCAACCTATGTTTGAAGCTATTCAGCGTATTCGAGTTAATGATGATATTTGGTAACTTGTTCCATTCATCCACTACTCTGTTTCCAAACCAATGTTTACCTATTTCACGCCTAAATCTAAATTTGTCTAATTGAAAACCATTGTTACGAGTTTGCTCCTGGTTGGATAGTTTGAGTACCTTTGTAATGTCCCCTTTGTTTAGCCCTGACTTCCACTTATACATCTCTATCAGGTCGCCCCTCGCTCTACGTCTCTCGAGGGAGTGCAAATTAAGATGCTTTAACCTGTCTCTATACTCAAGGTTCCTAATGCCCGGGGTTAGTCTTGTCATTCTCCTCTGAATTCTTTCCAATGATTCTATATCCATTCTGTAACACGGTGACCAGAACTGAACTGCGTAATCCAGGTGTGGTCTGACAAGTGCAAGATACAGTTTTAGGATGACCTCGCTAGTCTTGTAACTAACACTCCTTTGTATGAACCCAAGTACTTTATTAGCCTTGTTACGAGCAAAAACACATTGTTTACTTGGCCTAAGGTTCCTACTTATCATTACTCCTAAATCTCTCTCGCACTCGGATTTCTCTATTGCATCGTTGTTCATCTGGCTCTAAAATGATGGTATACTGCCACTTTTAATCCCGTCATATGAGTCCTAAGTCAGAGTAAAACATGTCACCAAATTATTTTTTAAAGAAAAGTCCCAATTATTAAGTATCTTAAATAAAGTTAAATTAGATTACGTTTTGGCTAAGGTTAGGTTAATATTAAATTATGTTACGTTTAGGTAAGATTAAGTTTAGGTTTAGGTTAAGACAGTTTAGGTTAGGTTAGGTTTATAATCTTTTCTCTACTTTCAGGTAAACAGGGGTTGCCCTTGGCCGGCCGTAACCAAACTCACAACCAACAAGAAAATAATGAAATGTTTCCTTGATTCCATCTAGTCTAAGGATAGATAGATAGATAGATAGATGGAAGGATGGATGGATAGATAGATAGATAGATGGATAAATAGATATTAAGTGAAATCGAAATATATGTTTACATTTATTGAACGTGTATATAAACAATACAGGTCTGTAGTTCAGCTTGAATATAGAATATATAGGTATACAAACAATGTACAATCTCCTTCACTCGAGCGTTTACAGGGGCACATCATATAAACATTCCACAAATCATTACATTGAGATACAGTATTTGTTTTAAAAATGTTTTACTTTGATTCCACAGTATATTTACTATTGCGAGTTTCCTTCTGTCGAATAAACCAACACAGGGGACTGTACATTACTAGGCAGAACAGGTATATAATTATTTACAAAATTAACCTCATATGAACTGTTCATTGTAAGTCATATGCGATGGTATACTGGTTAACATGGCATCGTATGTGTTCAGTTGTCAACAAAATTTCCTGGACACATTTGGCACTCGCTGACATCTACATGTGGGGTTTAGGGCTTCAGAATACAGTACACGTTTATCATATTGTAAATAACATTGTGTATTTTTTGGAAGTTTATTTCGATATTATATTTTATTTTATATTGTGGAATTCTTTCATGATATTTTGGTGGAAATGAAAAAAGCAAAGTTTATAAGTTATTATTTTTTTCACATACAGTGTGGCTTACCATAGGTCAGTGTGGTTTAACTATGGGTCGATGTGGCTTAGCTATGGGTCAGTGTGGCTGATTTGATTTAGAATTAACAACTGGGCATCCACTCTACAAACTGAATTAGTTGCCATACTCACAGCTATTAAATTCATTGAAACCACTGTTACTGACAGTCTCATCATCACTGACTCTCTATCCTCACGACTTGCCCTTGACACCCTCGACTCAGGTTGTCACGCTCTTGTCTCTGAAGCCAGACACAAATATGCGTGCCTTGTAGACCGGGGTGGTCAAGGTCACACTATTGTGGATCACCTCTCACATAGGCCTCATAAAACATGACAGAGTTGATGCCCTCGCCAAACTCACGTCTAACAAAGACACCGTTGAATACAATTTGGGTCTGTCAAAAAGAACCCTTAAAACTGTAATTAGGAAAGAACTTATTGATGAGTTTGACGCAAGTAGACTAGTGCAAACAGACACTAGTCGATCCATAGTTTACCATGATGAGATGAATCAATTGAAACATGTATATGGAGCAAGTAACAAGATCACTAGATTACAAGATGTTGTAATCACCAGATTAAGGTTAGGATATAAGTACCTTTGGCAGTATGTTCCTCAAGCAGATGTAAACATAACTAAATATAAAGTGTGTGGCCAGACATATGGCCACACACTTGAACACTACGTCCTCGACTGTGTGAAGATAGAACCTTTTAGGGACAGGTCCAAGCACACTGTGTGTGAAATGGCACAACACTTCATCTCTAATGGCAAGATAGCCGACATATTAAGATTGTATCCACTTTTTTGCTCTTAGTAACTATATCAGTTCTCATGAACAGAACCAAATACGCAATGTGCTTGAATAATTCTCACGTAAATGTGAATAACAAAGTGTGAGGCCAGACATAAGAACATAAGAAAATAAGGAGTCTGCAATAGGCCGGTTGGCCTGTGCATGGCAGCTCCTGTCGAGAGTTACTACCACTCTCTATCATCCATGAATCTACCTAGCCTCCTTTTGAAACTTTCCAGCGTTCCAGCACTTACTACAAAGTTGCTAAGCTTGTTCCACTCGTCCACCACCCTATTTGTGAACCAGTCTTCCTCTCTCCCTCCTAAACCTAAACTTATCCAACTTAAATCCGTTGCTCCGAGTCCTATCTATATCCCCTTTATTGATTCCTTTCACCCACTTATATACTTCTATCATATCTCCCCGCACTCTTCGTCTTTCTAGGGAATGCAAGTTAAGTTTCTTTAACCTATCTTGATATGGAAGGCTTCTAAGTCCCGGAATCATTTTCGTCATTCTTCGCTGCACCGACTCTAGTGAATTGATATCCATTCTATAATAAGGGCACCAGAACTGAACCGCATAATCGAGGTGCGGCCTGACTAGCGCAAGATATAGTTGCAATAAGACCTCTGCACTCTTATTACTTACACTTCTAGATATAAAACCCACTACTCTGTTTGCCTTATTTCGAACATTAACACACTGTTTTCTAGGCCGTAGGTCTGGGCTTACAAGTACCCCTAGGTCTCTTTCACAAGTCGACTTCTCTAGGTTGATGTTGTTAAGGCTGTATACATTGTCAGTATTTGTTCTTCCAATATTAAGTACGCTGCACTTACTGGTGTTGAATTTCATTTGCCATTTTTCAGACCACCCCTGCAGTTTATTTAGATCCTTCTGTAATGCATTTGCATCCTGCCCTGAATTAATCTGCCGCCCTATTTTGGTGTCATCTGCAAACTTGCTTATGTCACTGCTGATCCCAGTATCTAGATCGTATATGTAGATTATGAACAAGAGTGGGCCTAGTACTGTAGTACTGACCCCTGGGGAACCCCACTGGTTACACGGCCCCACTCAGATTTAACACCATCTACGCTGACCCTCTGCGTTCTATCGGTGAGCTATGATTTTATCCAATTTAAAACTTTCCCCTCGATACCACTAGCCTTAATTTTTCTCAGAAGCCTCTGATGCGGTACTCTGTCAAATGCTTTGCTAAAGTCTAAGTAACTAACATCGTAATTTTCGTCATTATCTACTACCTCGAAGACTTCCCTAAAAAACGTCAACAGATTTGTTAGACAAGATTGTCCCTTTGTAAACCCATGTTCCTAGTCGTAGATTAATTTGCTTTTCTCTAGATGCGATCGGATGCTATCTGCTATAATTGATTCAATAAATTTCCCCACTACTGACGTCAAACTGATCGGCCGGTAATTTGACGCTGATGCTCTGTTTCCCTTTTTGAACATGGGTACTACATTTGCCTGTTTCCACAAGTCTGGCACAACTCCGGTGTCTAATGATTTTGTAAATAAATTTACAAGGGGTCCGCTAATCTGTTCCCTACACTCTTTCAAGACTCGAGGGAAAATTTCATCCCGCCCTGGGGATTTTGTCTTCTTTAGTTTATTTATCCTCTTAAGAACATCCTCTTTTCTGATAGTGATATTCTTGAATTTCTCTTCTTCCTTTCCCCTAAATATCAGTTCCACCTCTGGAATTTCCTCGCGAATTTCTTCTGTGAAAACTGATAAGAAGTAGTTGTTCAATGCTTTGCTTATTTCTTCACTGCCATTTATCACTTCTCCCCTCCCTGACTTTAAAGGCCCAACTTTGTCCTTGACTTTTGTTCTATATACCTGGAAAAATCCCTTGGGATTCGCCTTGGATTCTCTTGCTATTTTGACTTCATAGTCTCTCTTTGCTTTCCTTACATTTTTCTAAGCATTCCTAGATAGTTCATTATACCTATTTCTGACCTGCTCCTCCCCTCCCTTTAATTTCTTATAAATTCCTTTCTTTATTTCTATGTCATGTTTAAATTTTCTGGTCATCCACCTTGGCTCATTCTTATCTGACCGAATTTTTCTGTATGGTA